AGCCCCAACCAGGTCACTCCATTTCCTGGAGCCTCAAGTTCTACACCTGAAAGCCAGCGTGGTGAGCCCTGCACCACAGCGCTGATGAGAAGGGCCCAGCACAGCCCTACCTATTTGGGTTTAACAGCCCGAATTTTGTTGATTGAATGTCTTCCTTCAAGATCTAACTCAGAACTTTGTCCTCATAAATGTGGACAGTAGGTGGGGGGATGGGGTAACTGGGTGATGGGCATTAAGGAGGGCACATGATGTGATGAGCACTGGGTGTTATATGCAACTGATGATTAACTGAACTCTACATCTGAAACTAATGATTTGCTATATGTTAGGTAATTAAACTTAAATTAAAAAAAAATGTGGACCCAGGGTTTCCAGTCTCCTGTTCCAAAAACATTGAATACATGTAGGAAACTGAAAATAAATGTATGTATTCAATATATATATATACAAGAAACAAAATAAATGTGTATGTTTGTATATATATATATAGAGAGAGAGAGAGAGAGAGTGAGCGAGAGAGAGATACAGATATACACCATCATTTCAGAGGTGGTCTGAAATGAATGTGTTCAATGCTTGTTATAGACACACACACAGAGTTTTATTTGTATTCATATTTTTCACCTTAATATGACTGTGGGCCTCTAGCAGGCAGGGACCAAATCTCATTTCTTTTGGAAATCTTTCCTCTCATACCCAATTCCAGTTCTTGCTTACTCTTGGGTATCAATAGATACTTAACAAATAACTGTGCTTGTCCAGTGAGAGGGAATGGGACTGATTTTAAGTGGTGAGAAAAAATGCTGGGTCCATTCATTCCATAGCAGTGCAATTTCCGGATAATAAAAGAATGGGAAAAAAGTACCTACCAACCATCAGGTCTGGGGCCCTTTAGTAGAAGGCTTTTAAAATTCACTGGACTTTTCTAGGAAAGGATGCATCAGGGATGCTCAGAAATGAGCACTTCTTAGACCTGCAGGAGTCAGGGGGTTAAAGGGTTCTTCCTGCCTAGGGGGTTCCAGAGATGGACAGAGAGAGACTTTACCATTTCCCTCCTTCCTCCTTCTCCCTTTCTTCTTTTAAACTATTTTTGTCCTAAAATGGTCACAGCAGTTGATACCTAATGTAGAACTTGGGAAATTCAGAAACGTGTGAAGAAGCTGATGATAGGCTTCACCCATAATCCCACCCTGCAGAGGCTCGAGCTTTCTCTTTATCTGAATACACCAGGCAGGGTGTGGTCCAACCCCTTGTTGAGCAGTCTCCATTTACTTTGCAAAGTAACAGCCGCAAGCCCATGACTGTCTCCTCCCTCCCTTCTGGAAGTCTCAGGGATCGGTGAGCTTGGGTTCCCACTTCAAGTCTAAGGCTTGGAGCAGATGCTGTGCTGAGGGGCTGGGGGCCTGGGGCTTTCCAAAGCTGGCACTACCCCGGGGGGAGGCCATGCCCATGGCGGTGGTGGGAGTAGCCAGGAGCAACCATTTGCAACACCTTTCCATTTTGGGTACTCAGGGTGCTCAGACTGTCTGTTCCTGTTTGGACACCTCCCACTGAAGGAGCAGGAGATAGGCACCTGTCTTAGGTGCACATGGAGCTTAAACAGCTTCTAACAAAAAGTGACACAACATGGGCATCTGTTACTCTCCTTCTAGGCCTTCTGTTCCTTTTATAGCTGCTAGGAATGACCCATAGAAATACGATTTTATGCTCCAGTGATTACATATACCTGGTCTTCAGTGGGACAGGGAGGAAAATGACTTGTGACCGAGTGCATCTTTTATGATTTGCAATCCCCAGCTGCTCTCCCAGGAGGGTGAATCCCAGCTAGAGTATTTCCTGAGTAGGGGTCAAGGGTGTGAGGATGCAAACTGGAGCTACTGAGAGGGAGCCACAGGGCTCCCCTGAGCAAAGAGGTGAGTGAAGGTGGTGTGACAGCCAAAGGGACAGGGGTGTGGGTGGGAGGCTTCCAGGAGAGGACAACCTGAACGAAAGGGAGAAGGAAAAGAGGAAAGTTCTCCAGGCAGAGATCAGCATGGACAAAGGCACAGAGGTAGGAACCAGCCTGGTGCCTTCCAGGTCCTGGGAATAGCCCCGGAACACCCATGAGGGGCAGGGAAGGTGGGGGCAGGCACTGAGATACTCTCAGGGCTTTGTGTGCCAGCTAAGAGCCTGGCTCTCATTCACCTGGGTGGCAGTCCTCAAGGGGAAGGAGGTGGGTAAAGAAAAAAGCAAGGCACCCCCGGTTCTCTGACTGGGGATGGATGGCTTTGAATTTCCAGCATGGAGCATGTGTTTGGTTTGAAAAAGCAAATTCAGAATTAAAACTTTATATTTGATAAATGTAAGAAGGATACCTGTCATAATCTAAATTTGACTTGAATTTTGGTTAGAGGAACAGGAATTAGGAAAAGTGCAGGAATACTGCCCCAGGTGATGGGAGCCACAGGTGGGTTTTAGCAGGGAGGTGACAGAGATGGGTCAGATTTGCACTTTTAGAAAGTGACTCTGGCCACTGATTGGGTGGTGGGTATGAGAGAGGTAAGACTGTGCATAGACTATGAAAGGGATAGAGAGATGGCGGCATGACTCAGGGCCTTGTGCCCTGGGTAGGGAGATATTTAGTGGACAGAAAACCGGAGAACTTGGTGACAGAGAAGGTGCACAGGGTGAGAAAAGGAGGAGTCGGGGCTACGTTCTGCAACCCTTGTGGGGTGGCTGGCTAGGTTGGGGTCAGGGAGGAGGGGCTGGCTGGGGGAGGGAGGCTCTGGTGGTTGGTTCAGTGTTGCTTGGTTCTGACAAGTTAGTTTTAAAGCGACTGTGGGACATCTGAATGAACAAAGGTCCTTGAGCTTCTTGTGACTTGTCCACATACTCTAGTGGGCGACTATCTAGGGCTGGGATCCAGTGTCCTAACTCTTCCCACCTTGCAGCCCAGCTTGACTGGACATGGAGACAAGGAACAGGTGGCTCTGAGATGTCATGCCTCTGAGGAGGTGTCAAGCACCCTGGGGGTGGGTGCTGGTGTTCTTATGATATGGAGTACCCCTTGCTTCTCAGCTTTGCCCCAGGGTGTGAATGGTTGGAAGGCAGGCTCTCAAAACACATGCTGGGGAAACCAAAGGCCAAACGGATGGTGATGCTGGCCTCAACACTGCAGCAGGCCCAGGCTCAGAGAGTTGTCACACCAGGGTCCCCTGAGGTCCATCCAGGGTGGCAACCCTGCCCCAGTTGCTAGATCCTCCTGAGTGCCCCTGGCATCATGCCTCATTCTCATTAAGACTTGCTCATCTGGTGCCTGCCTGGCCCTGCTCTGCCTGACTGTGCAATCAGAGATCTGATAGTTTTGGTACCACAGGGGAATGTTTTACAACATTTGCCTATGATACCTCTCAGACGTATTTTCATTTTAATCAGGGGATAATACTATAACCCAAGGAATGAGCCTCTAATAGTGGAATTTCAACACCAACAGAGATTGGGATAGGAATTATTGCGTTCAGTGTGTACTTATCTGGGGGACAGATGCCTGTCGTCTTAACGTGAGTGGCGCAGGCAAAAAATTAGTTCTTTTGGTGGAAACAAGAAATAGCTCAGACTCTGAAAATCCAAACCTTAGCAGGTTATGACCACAAGACAGCCTCATACCTCTGTGGCATGGGCTGCTGGGGAAGGGGAGAAGCTTATGCTTCAGGTAAGACAACTTATAAGGCTGCGGATTAGTCCTTAGGGGACATCAGTGACCACCCCTCAGAAGAACAGCATCCAGGGATATGTCAGTAAACCCTGTGCTAGAGCTAGCCAGCCCTGGAAGGGAGGGCTCCCTTTCATGTTGGTGGGCATTGGACAGAAGCAGCATAAGGTGGTGCCTGTGACCCTGTTCTAGCTAAAAATAAGACTAATGGGAGGAGGACCCCAGCTGGCAGCTGGACGTGCAGAGCATCAAGACTAGGTTATGGAAGCAACTGCCAGGTCCCTAACTAGAGCCATGAGCATCAGGATTGGGCTCAGGGGCCATCACAGCACTGAAATGCTGAGCCCAGAGTACCCTGGCTGGGCTGAGAAGGAAGCTGTGCTTTAGTGGGCATGCAGTGTCCTGGCCTCCCTCAGCCACACCATACCTACCAAGATGGATTCTCTCTGCCCCTCAATGGTAAGTTAAGTCTTTCCAGATGCCCCGCTGTAGCCAGCGCTGGGTCAGGAATGGAGCTGAACTGGCCCATGAGGAAGGACAGGCAGGGACTGGCCCCAGAGCCATGTGGGAATAGGAGCTGGTGTTGGGGATGCTGCCAGCCCTGGGCGAGACAAGCATCCTTACTCTGAGCAACAGAGTGCCCAAGTGAAAATGGGAAACCATCACTGTGGGTTTTGTTTGTTTAAACATTGTGATGATTAACCGTTTGAAGACCTTGATCCCCAGGATTTTTAGAGTAGTAACTCATCCTTGTTTGTAAGATGCTAATGCTTGGTGAAATTGTCTTGAATCCAATTCATGGCCTGTGTACCTCCCAAACCCTTCCACTGTCCTGGAGCATGATGTTCTTCAGGCTTCTTCTGCTTCTTTGACGGCATCCGAAATTCTCTCATACCAGTGTCTGTGAGTTGAGTGAAGTATTGGGGGGTGGTATCAGGAAGGGGTCACAATGCCTTCCAGCCTGGTAGCCAGGACCCCTCCGGGCTCACGCAGGAGTTCCACATCCTGCTCCCTCCACTGTGCAGAGCAGCTTCTCTCCTCTGGTCCTCACAGTCAGCACTCGGTGAAGAGATTTTCCAATTCCTCTCTTTGAAAAAAAATTTTGGTCCCACTCATAAAGATAATGAAGCTTTCCTTACCTTTTCATAGACATAATTTGCTTTTAAAATAAAATTTCATTTCTAGTTCATTTTTAAGAATTTCTCCACGGTCCTTACAATAAATCAGCACCTAATGGTACTGCAAGAACAGGGTAAGGAGTCCTGGTGGTGCAGACAAGACCCTGATGTTTGTTGCTTGTGTTTTTCAGCTTTCATCCAGATGTTTGAAATCCTGTAGATGAGGTCGGCGTCCCTGAGAGCGAAGCAGGGTGCACGGGTCGAGCACTGAGAAGCAGCAGCCTGGGACAAGGCTGGTCCAGGCTCCTGGTAATTTGTTGGCAGTTTTTGGTGGTGATAGGGGGTGAGGCACACTTTTTGGTTGGGTCCGTCTCACCAGGATGAGCTTCCAGTCACCAGCAGGATTGGGGGAGTGGAGTGGAGTGGAGTGGAGGAGTGCAGATCTGGAGCCAGAGATAGCCCTGGTTGAGATCCTGACTCCACTGTTATCTGTGTGATCATGGGCAAGTTAGCTAACCTCTCTGCGATTCAGTTGATCTGTAAAATAGCGACATTAACATCTGCCCCTATGGAGTGGTCCTGGGAATGAAAATAAATCATGAATAGAAGTTGCCCAGTACTGTTCCGTCTCCAATTCTCTGACGCAAACTGGCAAACTGAGTGTCCTACAGGTCAGCTCAGTTCTGACACTATGCTGAGTTAAAGGACACACAGGTTAACTACCACAAGTTAAAGGGCAAGGTCACCAATAAACTGCCCCCAGTTCAGAAGCCACAAGCCACCCCCAGGCCACCACACTTCTGACTCACTTAGCTATATATTTGAGGGTTCCCATGCTACCCTTTAATCCCTAATTCACTATAACAACTCACAGAACTCAATGAAGGTGCTGTAATTGTGACTACAGTTTTATTACAAAGGATTTAACTCAGGAACAGGCAAATGGAAGCAATGCATAGGGCAGGATGTGGGGGGGGTGGGGGATTGGTGCAGAGCTTCTGTGCCGCTCCTTATAGAACCTGGGTGCATCACCATCCCAGCATACCAATCAGGAAGCTCCTCCAAGCCTTGATGTCCAGAGATTTTTAATGGGGGGCTTTATTACTATTAGGCATAATGGTTTAAATCATCTGCCACTTGACTGAACTCAGTCTCCAGCCCTCCTCCCTCCTGTCCTCCATGGTTGGGGGTGGGGCTGAAGTTCCAACCCTCTAATCATGTGCTTGGTCTTTCTTGGTGGCCAGTCCTTCCCTTGAAACATCTAAGGGCCCACCATAAATCACCTCATTAGCATAAATTCAGGTTTGATGAAATGAGCTCATCATGAATAACAAAAGACCCTCCCAATGTTTTTTGGATATTTTAGAAATCCCGAGGCTTTTTGAAGTTCTGTGCCGGGAATGGGGGGAAAAGGCCAGATATATTCTTTATTTTGTCACACCTGGCCCATCAAGCAGTGACCTCTGATGGTCACCACCCTGCTTATCCTCTTTGTTGTGATCTCCAAGTTGACATGTTCCCAGTATCGGTCAGAGAACTGGTCATTCTTGTCAGTCTTTTTCTGGATGTTCTTTTTGTTAATATAGCTCAAGATTGAATTAGTTCTTTGGACTACAACATATAATTACAGTTATTGAGTATGCACCTGTTTACAGTTGAACCATGAGCCTCTCATTACTCGAGCTCCTAATGCTATAATGATTCTAGCCCCTAAATGACACATAATAAGAGCAAATGCTTAATAGCACTTGATATACGCCAGGCACTGTTTTAAATGCTTCACATACATTAACTCATCTAAATCCTCACAACAGCCTAAAGAGGTAAATAGTTTGATCCCCATTTTATACATGGGGAAACTGGGGCACAGAGAGGTTAAGTAACTTGCCCTACAAGATCACACAGCTAATAAGTGGCGTAGTTAAGACTGGAACTCATCATCTTCTTGTTCCAGAGTCCATGCTTTTAACCACTAAGCCACACTGCACATAACTTTGGTCACCTGTGCAACATTTTGGAAGGAAAAGAAGGAGCACAAAAGGATACCTCTTGTTCACAAAGTCAAAGGGTGGTTTTCTCTGGCCCCCATTGTCACAGTGAGAGAGTCAGGGCTTCCATTTTCTACTCCATTCCCAACAGAGCTTCTCTGGAGTAACCTGGGGATGAGCTCTGAGAAGTGAAGGCAGGCCTAGGGGGCATGGTAGTTGGGCTCCTGCCCAGCAGGACCTGAGCTTTTTTGTTCCTCGTGCTTCAGGGAGGGAAATGCTACTTCAAGCCTTCACAGACCCATTCCTGGGAGTGCAGCCATTCCAAGAGGAAGGAAAGAGGGTCAGCCTTTTCCACCTAAATAGAAAGGATTTAGGCTAGGAAGGTTCAGTACTGGGCTGTGCTGACCAAAGTGATCCTAATCCCAGAGAAGCTGAGGATTCAGGTGGCTCTGGAGCTGGTGGGACCTGGAGTCATAAGGAACACAGGGAGCTCATCTCCATGTGCATATCCATGGTACTCATTGGGAGGTTGCTTGTTTCATTTTTAAAATAACATCAAAGATTGGGGCTTCCAAAGTTCTAAAGAGAATTAAAACAGGAGGGGCAATGCCTCTGGGAAAATGTCTGTCTTTGCTGTCTGCCCAGGAGAGTCTGGGTGGTGACTTCTTGTCTGCATAGCTCTGATGCACTCCCATTGTCTTTGTCCTTGCAATACCTTATTACTGCTTATTATTGCAGGGGTGAGGCTGTCTGAGAACATGGTGGAGGTGAGGTATTTTTAACTCGCTCCACGCACGTGGGATTGACTTGAACCTACAAGGCAAATGTCAGTAGGTCATGTGTGTTCTTTGCAGTTGCCCATTTGGTATTTGGCTTGAGGGAGAGGCCCCAGGGGTGGGGAGACAAGGATGCAGGAAGAAGGTCTCTTGCTCCAGGAAACTCAGGTCCTCTATCATTCATTTTCTACACGAATCTGTCTCACTCCATATAGTGTAGAGCTGGAAGGGGGCCCAGAGTTTATTCTGTTCACTCCCTCATTTAGAGATGGACAAAATGAGACCCAAAGAGGGAAATTACTACTTGGCCAAGCCCATGAAGCTAAAGAATGACAGAGTGAGGGTGATACTGTAGACTCTGACTCTAGTCCAGAGCTAATTCCACTGGAAACATCCCTGATGGACTCAATAACTCTTTCTCTGCTTAGATGAAGAATCTGGCTTGAATGCTACTAAGTACAACTTCAACCATTCTAGCAATCTGCCAAATCTGTTTCCGATCTTTCTTTAGAGAATTTTTTTTTGCTTTTGGGTTTGTTTGGGGTTTTTTTGGCTGCCACTTCCAGAAGATGCCTCCTCCATACTCTGTCACTCACAGGCAAATATTTCATCTACAGGCCCAGCAGGCATGGTGCTGGTTGGGGGAGATCTGGTGAGGGCACTCATAAGGAAATAATTAATTAGTGAAAGAATCAAGATGAGATGTCGTGGTTTGGCAAACTTGCAAAAGCAGTAATGGTGGCATTTGGAGCCTCCTGCTGTCCCAGGTCAGATGTATGGTGGCAGTTGGTGACTGGAGTTGGAGGATGGGGCTTGGACAGCCATGGGAAATGACACCTGGCAATGGTGTTAGATGATGAGGTTTGTGCCATTTTGGCTGGCTTGCTAAATGGCCAACATCTGGAATGGATGCCTTCTATTATGTGGTACAACTATTAACATCTAGCCAGTGGTATTTCAACTCTGGCTGCCTATTGGAATCACCCGGGGAGCGTTTAAAAATCCTGATGTCCATAGCTGATTTCCAAGATCTATAAAGAACTTCTCAAACTCAACACCCAAAAAACAAATAATCAAGTCAAAAAATGGGCAGAAGATATGAAAAGACACTTCTCAAAAGAAGACATACAAATGGCTAACAGACATGAAAAAATGTTCATCATCATTAGGCATCAGGGAAATTCAAATCAAAACCACAGTGAGATACCACCTTACACCAGTGAGAATGGTAAAAATTGACAAGGCAAGAAACAACAAAAGTTGGAGAGGTTGTGGAGCAAGGGGAACCCTCTTACACTGTTGGTGGGAATGCAAGTTGGTACAGCACTTTGGAAAACAGTGTGGAGTTTCCTCAAAAAGTTAAAAATAGAGCTACCCTATGACCCAGGAATTACACTACTGGGTATTTACCACAAAGATACAGATGTAGTGAAAAGAGGGGCCATATGCACCCCAATGTTCATAGCAGCAATGTCCGCAATAGCCAAACTGTGGAAAGAGCCAAGATGCCCTTCGACAGACAAATGGATGAAGATGTGGTCCATATATACAATGGAATATTACTCAGCCATCAGAAAGGATGAATACCCAACTTTTACATCAACATGGATGGGACTGGAAGAGATTATGCTAAGTGAAATAAGTCAAGCAGAGAAAGTCAATTATCATATGGTTTCACTTATTTGTGGAACATAAGGAATAGCATGGAGGACGTTAGGAGAAGGAAGGGAAAAATGAAGGGGGTGAATCAGAGGGGGAGATGAATCATGAGAGACTATGGACTCCAAGAAACAAACTGAGGTTTTAGAGGGCAGGGGTGTGGGGGGATGGGCTGGCCCAGTGATGGGTATTAAAGAGGGCACATATTGCATGCAGCACAGTGTGTTATACGCAAACAATGAATCATTGGAAAACTACATCAAAAAGTAATGATGTACTGTATGGTGACTACATAACAAAAGAAAAAAAAAGAAACACATAAAAATCCTGATGTTCAGATCACACCCCAGACTAATAACATTAAAATCCCTGATAGCAGTATTTTTTAAAGTTCCCCAGTGGATTCCAATATGCACCCAAGTTTAAGAACCACTACTCTAGGCCAAGGGTTCAGGCTGTCAGCTGAGGGAAGTAGTACATGTGCCCTCCCTTGAATTTGCTATTTGCTCTTTCCCAAAAGGGGAAAAATAAGGAAGGAAGGAAGGAAGGAAGGAAGGAAGGAAGGGAGGAAAGGGAGGGAGGGAGGGAGGGAAGAAGGGAAGGGAAGGACAGGGAAGGGAAGGGAGGGGCAGGGAAGGGAGGGGAGGAAGGAAGGAAAGAAGGTAAGTAGGTAGGTAGGTAGGTAGGAAGGAAAAATGAAAGAAGAGGGAAAGGAAGAAAGATCACCTGAGTGTTCTGACCTGATGGGGTAGATTCCCACTTCTCCCATTACCTAGTGCTTCACCCACCTGCCCCACTCAGAGGAACTATAAGGTGGAGGGTAGAATCTCGACAGAAGATGGAAGAAGATGTTGCAGACAGCTCACCGACAACAAGACTATACTGGCTGTCAGCAAGGCCTCTTGCATAATGAACTGCTGGCTGTAAGGACAGTCAAGGTTTGGGCTAACAGAATGGGCCAAGGGGGAAGAACAGATGAGGACAAGGAGGCAGGAGTGCTCTAAGAGAACAAGGGAGCCTTCCACCTCCTCGTGGAATGCAAATGTGAGCTCATGGAGGGCGCCTGGGTGGCTCAGTTGGGCGCCTGGGTGGCTCAGTTGGTTAGGCGACTGCCTTCGGCTCAGGTCATGATCCTGGAGTCCTGGGATCAAGTCCCGCATCGGGCTCCCTGCTCAGCAGGGAGTCTGCTTCTCCCTCTGACCCTCCTCCCTCTCATGCTCTCATTCTCTCATTCTCTCTCTCTCTCAAATAAATAAATAAAATCTTTAAAAAAAAAAAATGTGAGCTCATGGAGGTAAAGTGAGGGAGGGCAGGTTAAAGATGAAAGCCAGGTATCCCGATCCCCTGTAATGCTCTTTTGTTGGCATCTCTCTACTGGTGTTCAAAAGCTAATTCTTGTTCGTCAAGGCACTTGCCTTCCTTTGCTGAGAAAGGGATCACACAGCAGGGAGAAGGCTAGGGCTCTGTAAGGCTGCCCTGGGTATTGAAGGGGCATAACCCAGATTTGAAGGCCTAGTGATACTGACACACAAAGGGAGACTGGTGTGGTCAAAGCCCCATAGCTGGGAGGTGGAGGCTGGAGCTGCAGCCTGCTTCTTCAGTAAGGTTCCAGTATAGTAAGAGAAGACATTCCTTCGTTTACCATCAGGCCGTGGGGGGAAAAAAAGCATGCTTGAGTAGAAAAATAGGGGTCCCAGCCCAACTCTCCAAAGGCTGCCCTAATCCTCATTCCAGGGGTCAGGACTAGATATAGTACATTAGTAAGTACTAATTCCCAATACGTGGCTTTACACTACGTAGATATGCATCACAAAAATGCTCCAAAACGTATGCAGATCATGCTTGCACCGGAGGAACTGTCCACTTCCACCCCGGTGTGGCAGTTTAAGTGTAGCTGGTTAGTCAGAGAAGGGTGGTGGACCCCTGGGCGTGTGCCAGATTTTTGCTAGGTCCGATGATGTATTAGCGCCCCCTATCGATGGGCAGCTGCCGGCACCCTGCCCTCCAAACCGCGGCTTGGCTTACACCCTCCGGGGAATAGCCGCCTCCCGCGTGAATCCAACGAATCCAGCCCCTCTGCTGTAGGAAACTGTACTCGGACTGGGAGCTCCCTCTTCCCTTCTCTGTAGGCTTCCAGAAGCGGATTATAAGCCCACCAGGACAATGAGTGAAGAGACTGTCCCCGAGGCTGCCTCGCCGCCGCCGCCGCCGCCCCCGCAAGGGCAGCAGTATCTGGACCGCTTTTCTGAGGACGACCCTGAGTACCTGCGCCTCCGCAGCCGCGCGGCGGACCTGCGGCAGGACTTCAACCTGATGGAGCAGAAGAAGCGCGTCACCATGATCCTGGAGAGCCCCGTGAGTGGGGTCCGCCCCAGGCGGGCGGGAGAGGAGGAGGAGGAGGAGGGGAAGGGAGCGGAGCAGGCGGCGCCGCCCATTCATCTGGCTGAACCTGAAAGATAAATAACTCCTCTTTCATTTGCTCAGTGTTGTAGCAATTTTAAGCCCGCTGAGCAAACCGGCCTGGCCCTGTGGGTATTTCATTCTCTCCCTGGTCACTGGTAGAGGGCAAAAACCTGGTTTATGTGCAGGCGGTTTGGCTTGGTACAGGGAGGGGGTGGGTCTGAGAGACAGGAGCCCTGCCTCAGTTTCCAGGCTTCCCCAAAAGTTGTAACAATGAACTAACAGGGATATTCCTGTAAACAGGAGGCCAGCTGGGAACGCCACGTGGAAGGCTTGGGGCCCCCATTTTTGAGCACCACAAAGAACTCCCTGTCAGGACAATAAGGTTGACAGGCATGGGGTAGAGGTGAAGAGGGTCTGGAAGCCCCAGAAGGTGGCCAGAGTGAAGGATACAGAGGAGTATGGGCCAGTGCAGGAAGGGCAAGTCATGGTCACCCTACCATGGCCCCAGACTTGAGGTCAGTTGGTACCTGCGTGGCATGGACACAGAGCTCATCCTTGCAGCAAGTGGTGCATTGAGAAGAACAAAGCATGGGCCTAATGGACCACGGAAGTAGGAGGGTGATGGAGGCCCTGGGTGAGGAGAGGAAGAGTGGTGTGGAAGGAATTTGAGGGCGGTAGAGCTGGGGGTCCTCAGGAAACAGTGCATGATCCCAGGGGCTGGGAAGCTCAGGCTGGGGCTGGGAAGCTCAGGCTGGAGCTGGCATCTCCAGGTGCCTGCCAGGAGGGGCTCTGCCTCAGTCCCCACTGGGCTTTGGAGAGACAGGACACATGGGTGGGCTGTGTGTGACCCTGGCTGAGTGCACACCGTGAATGCTCAGGCTTCACAGAGGAGCACTGAGGTAATGGGCCTGAGGTCTTGGTGACAGGTGATGCTGTGGAGGAAGCCTGGAGGAATATGGCAGGGACTAAAAGCTTTGGGATGATGGGAAAACTCCAGTGTGGGACTAGGAGAGATGACAGGTGTGATAGAAGTGGCAGAGTTAGTACCAACCCAAGTTTCAGGGCCTGAATGGATAGAATTTTATTCGCAGGCAAGAAATGGGACAAAAGGAGTTCATGTTTCTTCTGTCCTTTTATAGATTGACCAACACATGAGGGGCTCCCTGTTTCCTCCTGAGTGTTCCCTGCTGCCACCTGGTGGACAGTCCTACCTTATTTATGGTCTGAAAAGCCAGGCTTAGCAGGGCATTAGAAGTGGAAGTGACAGGGAGGACAGCAAATCCTTCAGTACCCGAGGAAACTGAGGTCCAGAAGGGCCATAGGCATGGCTGATGGACAGGGAGGATGGCACACATTTTCGTCCAGTTTTGCTTTTTAAAAGTTCTCTTAATTACTAAAGTGAAGCCCTGTCCTGTCTGATGGCCCAGGGGTGGGGGTGGGGGGCGTTGAGGGGGGGTTGGAAGTGGGAGGGACGTCTTGACTATCACTTAGACCCAGGAAGGACCTGGACAAAGGGGACTCAACAGCAGACATCTTTTTGCTTCTCAAACAGTAGTTCGGGGAGGCTCCTGAGGTCTCACTAGAATTCCCAATGTCCTCTGAGGCCCAGGGATCCCATGTGTGGCCCTGGCCTAGCTGACCCAGGGGATTGGGGTGGGCTCTTGGAAGAGGGGTCCTCAGTCCCCCCTATGAGACCCACTGGGGGGACCAGCACCTTGGGGCCTGCTTCAGTCTTTCAGGGAGGAACTGGAAGGCCTCATCCAGGAGCAGATGAAGAAGGGGAACAACTCCTCCAACATCTGGGCCCTGCGGCAGATCGCGGACTTCATGGCCAGCACCTCCCACGCAGTCTTCCCAGCATCTTCCATGAGTACGTGCGGAGCTGGGGAGCTGCCAGGAGCAGAGGTGGAGGAAGTGAGGTGGGGAAGAGAGGGTGGGTTGCCAGGCTACAGAGTGAGCAGTGCAGCTGAGTTAGCCGACCCGGGGTGGCAGCCAAAGAGGTACCTGGCTCTGCTTCTGAGGCTGCTGGATTTAAAGATCCACAGGAGAATTACTCCTGGTGCCCAGAAATAGAAGGGGGATGGTGACCTACGGGAAAACCTCTTTCTGGCTCTGTTGGGGGAAGGGACGGGATGACAGGGTGTCACTGTTCTGAGAGGCAGGGCAACCTCTATGTGACTCCTCCATCCCCCTTCATAAGTGGGTTAGCATGAAGGGAGGAGCTTTGCAACTCCAAGTCTCTTACATGGCCTCTGCTTGAGGACCCAGGAGTGGAGAATGCGGATTCCGCTCCCTGTTACCCTAGCTGTGGATATAGAACTGAAGGAAAATCCTCGTGGGCTAGCAGCAGCTCCTGACTCAGGCTGCTCTTTGCTCAACCCCGTGGAGCCTCTCCCTTGCAGCTGGAGTGGTAGGGCGGGGAGGAGGCCGTTGAATCCAGTATCTTGGTGCCCCACCGGACAGGCCAACCTGACTCCATAGACAAGGACCACAAGCAGCCAGGCCTGGGCATGAAACCCTCTTCCTGGGTTCTGAAGTTCTGCCCACAACCTTGAAGAAATAAACATCAAGGGCGCCTGGGTGACTCAGTTGGTTAAGCGACTGCCTTCGGCTCAGGTCATGATCCTGGAGTCCCGGGATCGAGTCCCGCATCGGGCTCCCTGCTCGGCAGGGAGCCTGCTTCTCCCTCTGACCCTCCCCCCTCTCATGTGCTCTCTCTCTCTCATTCTCTCTGTCTCAAATAAATAAATAAAATCTTTAAAAAAAAAAAAAAAGAAAAGAAACATCAAAAAATACTTTCCCTCAACAACATAAATACAGGATTATGATGAAAAATTAGGGAAATAATCAAGAAAAGGAAATTAAAATTAATGTACTGTGTTCTTACAACTAAGAAATGACTATTTTCAATATTTTGGTGTGTATCCTTCCAGCCTTTTTCTCTTAACATATATAAATTAGGAAAACAAAAATGGAATCATATTATACATGCAAGTTTGATAGCTTTAACATATCTTGACTAATTTTTCACATAATAAAACATGATTCGGTAATATGATGTTTGGTGAAAGTATGCTATTCTATGGCATGACTGAATATGCCATAATTTATTTTTAGACTTTTAAGTTGTTTACAGCTTTTTGCTCTTATGAACAACAGTGTCATCAATCCTTTCATTTATTCTATGACTATTTTCTAAAGCCAAATTACTGGAAATAAAATTGCTACATTAAAGTATTTGCATGTTTTAAAGACATTAATGCATAATGCCAAATTACCATGGAGAAAGATGGAACCAATTTACATTCCCACCAGCAATGCAAAAAGTGCCCTTTTCCTCCACCTTGATCTGTAGTATGTATTATACCATTCGTTTCATCCTCCTGATTTGATAGGTGATAAATAGTACTTTATTTGTGTTTTAATGTGCATTTGTTTGATCACTAACGACTTTGAATGTATTTTCATATACACGTTGGGATGATTTTTTTTTTTGTAGTAAATTGCCTATCACATTCCTTGCCAATTTTCCTACTCACATATCCTTTTCTTAAAAATTTTCAAATCTTTATAAAATGGGGCTATTTCCCTCTTATCTATCAAATATATTGCAATTTTTTCCAGTTTTTCCTTTGCCTTTTTTGTTCGTGATGTTTTTATCTTGTAGAACTCTTTAATTTCCATGCAACTGAATCCATGGTTACTTTCCTTTGTGTGTTCCTCTTTTGATTGCACACTCAGAAATACCTTCCCCATGTTTTATCATCCCATGGGACAAATACCCTTAATTATTTTTAAAAATAAGAATTATTTTGTCAAGTTCCCCCACCCCATACCTCAAAAATTCCCTTTTGGGATTTTGATTGGGATTATATTAAATAAATAGATTAATTTGGTGGAGAATTTATAAATTTACAATTTTATATTAGAATATAAGCTTCATGGGGGAAAAGATATTTGTACGTTTTGTTCACTGCTGTATCCTAGAATAGTGTCTTGGACTTAGAAAAGTAGCTGGGTTCTAGAGGCAAGGGGGGTGGGAGGATGGGTTAGCCTGGTGATGGGTATTAAAGAGGGCATGGTCTGCATGGAGCACTGGGTGTTATGCACAAACAATGAATCATGGAACACTACATC